GATTTTTTATTTTTATTTTTTATCTTTATTTTTGAGACGGGATCTCACTCTGTTGCCCAGGCTAGAGTGCAGTGGCACGATCTCAGCTCACTGCAACCTCTGCCTCCCAGGTTCAAGCGATTCTCCTGCCTCAGCCTCCCAGAAGAGCTGGGATTACAGGCGTCCACCACCATGCCCAGCTATTTTTTTGTATTTTTAGCAGAGACGGGGTTTCACCATGTTGGCCAGGCTGGTCTCAAACTCCTGACCTTGTTATCTGCCCAGCTCAGCCTCCCAAAGTGCTGGAATTACAGGCGTGAGCCACTGCGCCCAGCCTTTTTCTTTTTTCTTTTCTTTTCTTTTCTTTTCTTTCTTTTCTTTTCTTTTCTTTTCTTTTCTTTTCTTTTCTTTTCTTTTCTTTTTTTTTTTGAGATGGAGTCTCGCTTCATTTCCCAGGCTGGAGTGCAGTAGTGTGATCTCGGCTCGCCGCAGCCTCCACCTCCTGGGTTCAAGTGATTCTCCCGTCTCAGCCTCCTGAGTAGCTGGGACAACAGGCATGTGCCACCACACCCAGCTAATTTTTGTATTTTTAGTAGAGATGGGGTTTCACCCTATTGGCCAGGCTGGTCTCGAACCACCTGCCTTGGCTTCCACAGTGCTGGGGTGACAGGGGTAAGCCACCACCCGCTGGGGCTTTGACTTTGAGCCCTAGCTCTCACCTCCTAGGTGTATGCTGGGTAAATTCCTCATTCTGGTTGAGCCGCAGCATCCTTACCTGTGAGACGGGGACAGCTACGAAAGCTGAAACTGCGTGCGTTTGCTGTGGCAATTACCCAAGACGCTGCGTGTTGAGGGTTTGTCGTGCCTAGGATAGGTCCATCGCTCTCACTGCTTTCTGTAAGAACCCTGCAAGGCCAGCGTGGACATACGGGCACCTCCATGAGGAAGTTGGCATTCACGGAGGGGGATCGACTTGCCCACGTGCACGTGATTGAGTGGAAGACTCGGATTCCCCAGCCTCAGAACCCTGCATGTTCCCCCACCCCCCTTTCTGTGTCCAGGCACCCTCTAAGACTCAGGAAGGGACCGTTGGCCCAGTTTGCAGAAGCTGCCATGATGCGCCGGGTTATGGGAAGCGGGGCAGAGGAGGGACTTTGGGTAAATCCGACCAGGTGCCCTGGAGTTGGCCTGAGGCTTATGCTGATGGGTGGAGAAAACTGCCTCAAGAAGGGGAGGTCTCAAAACACCAAACTGTACCCTACAAATGTGTATAGTTGCAACGTGTCAGTTAAAAAATCAGGGCCTGCACAGTGGTTCATGCCTGGAATGCCATCTCTTCAGGAGGCTGGTGTAGGAGGATCACTTGAGCCCAGGGCAACATAGCAGCCTGGCCAGCGTAGTGAGACCCGGTCTCTAGAAAAATACGTACAGTCAGGCGTGGTGGCTCACGCCTGTGATCCCAGCACTTTTAGAGGCCGAGGTGGGCAGATCAAAAGGTCAGGATTTCAAGACCAGCTGTACCAACATGGTGAAACCCCATCTCTACTAAAAATACAAAAATAATTAGCCAGATATGTTGGTGGGTACCTGTAATCCCAGCACTTTGGGAGGCAGAGGCAGAAGAATCGCTTGAACCCAGTTGGTGGAGGTTGCAGTGAGCCAAGTTTGCATCACCGCACTTCAGCCTGGGAAATGAAGCAAGACTCCATCTCAAAAATATAAAAATAAAAATAAGTAAGTACATACATAATAATTGAAAATTAAGGAAAAAAATTTAAGACAGGCATGGTGGTTCACGCCTGTAATCCCAGCACCTTGGGAGGCTGAGGCGGGCGGATCACCTGAGGTCAGGAGTTCGAGACCAGTCTGGCCAACATAGTGAAACTCCATCTCTACTAAAAATACAAAAATTATCTGGGCATGGTGGTACGTGCATGTAATCCAGCTACTTGGGAGGCTGAGGCAGGAGAATCGCTTGAACCCGGGAGGTGGAGGCTGCAATGAGCTGAGATCATGCCACTGCACTCCAGCCTGGGTGACAAGAGTAAGACTCCATCTGGGAAAAAAAAAAAAAGAAATGTACAAAGCCTTTCAAAAGGCAGGCGTATCCAGTTCTTTGCCTTCCCCAAAACTGATAGAAGATTTAATTTAATTTTTTTTTGGGGGGGGTAGTATATGTTTTAATTTTGAGTAACTTTCTTTCTTTTTTTTTTTTTTTTTTTGTAGACGGAGTTTCGCTCTTGTTACCCAGGCTGGAGTGCAATGGCGCGATCTCGGCTCACCGCAACCTCCGCCTTCTGGGTTCAGGCAATTCTCCTGCCTCAGCTTCCTGAGTAGCTGGGATTACAGGCACACACCACTATGCCCAGCTAATTTTTTGTATTTTTAGTAGAGACGGGGTTTCACCTTGTTGACCAGGATGGTCTCAATCTCTCGACCTCGTGATCCACCCGCCTCAGCCTCCCAAAGTGCTGGGATTACAGGCTTGAGCCACCGCGCCCGGCCTCTTTTTTTTTTTTAATTGCATTTTAGGTTTTGGGGTACATGTGAAGAACATGCAAGACTGTTGCATAGGTACACACATGGCAGTGTGGTTTTCTGCCTTCCGTCCCCTCACCTGTATCTGTCATTTCTCCCCATGCTAACTCTTCCCACCTCCCCACTCCCCTACCCCCCATCCCTCCCCCATTTCCCTCAGAAGATTTAATTTTCAACTGAGAGATCATTTCAAGTAATTTCACATAACAGGTACAGATGCAGTTTCAGGCAGGTAACACGGAAAGAGGTTAAAGAATGGCATAACGTGGCTGCGATGAAACTCTGCGGCCTCCTCTGCTTCTCTGTGAACAAAATGTTTCACTGTTCACGTCTCTTTTTTGCTCATTTTAGAGACACCGTCCTGCGTTGCCCAGGCTGGTCTCGAACTCCTGCCATCCTGTAGCTAGGAGCCATCGCACCCGCACAGCTGTTAAAAAAAAAACCAAAAACATGAACAGAATTGAGGTCAAACCTCGTTTCACTCTAGCAAAAGATAATATCATACAGATACGTGAACTAAAAAAAATGCTCCGCCCATCGCATTGAGAATTCCACCAAAAAGTTGTTTTGCTACTTAATATTTATTAAAAAGTGTCATGCATAGCTTACTTTTTTTTGTTTGTTTGTTTTGAGACAGCGTCTCACTCTGCTGCCCAGGCTGGAGTGCAGTGGTGCGATCTTGGCTCACTGCAACCTCCGCCTCCCAGGTTCAAGCGATTCCCCTGCCTCAGCCTCCCGAGTAGCTGGAATTACAGGCACCCACCACCACACCTGGCAAATTTTTGTATTTTTAGTAGGGTTGGGGTTTCGCCATGTTGGCCAGGCTGGTCTCGATCTCCTGACCTTGTGATCTGCCCGCCTCAGCCTCCTAAAGTGTTGGGATTACAGGCGTGAGCCACTGCTCCTGGGCCCCTTTTTGATTGTATACTGCCAGTCATGGGACTAACTGACCCTGAATGTATTAATATCTGGAGCCTTGAGGTCTCAGGAAATTTTGGTTTTCAGTGTACACAGATTTTTTTTTTATGGAAGCAAAATATAACGGTGAACAAAGGGCTTGAAAATATAAAAATATAAACTAGGACAACATTCTTTAGGCAAAATGGAAAGAAGTTCAAGGAGAGAGATGAGGCAGGAGCTCCGTGAGGGAAGGAAGAGCTGTTCATGTGCGTTTTCAGTGGATGATTGTGGATATCACATCGCTAGGGCATTTAGATCCCACTGAATACATGTGAGAGAATGATGTCACACTTGTGTTTTAAGATGGCAATATTGATATTCTGGAAATCATACTCTTGGTAACTGTTTAAACTTGGAAATGTTCAGATGTTGACTTAAAAATGTATCAGGGAGTGCACAGTTGCTCAAAATGAGTTTGCAGGTGTGCAGGCAGATGGATGCAAAGGCCCCTGAGTTACCGAAACAGAATCTGGAACAGTCCTGTGTGAGGGGTGCCTCTGATCTCTCCTGGGGTCCGCATCTCCCTGGGCTCCGGCCCAAGCTGGGGGCTTCCTCTTTGGAGGATCTGCTTACTTGGGGAGCCAGTGGCTTGGCCAAGTCAGCTCCTTGCATCTTCACAGCTGCCCCACGGAGGAGGTTCTGGTGCTGGCCCTCGTGTGCAGATGGAAAAACTGAGGCTTAGTGAGTTTAAAACTTGCCAGGATTCGCTGGACACGGTGGTTCACACCTGTAATCCCAGCACTTTGGGAGGCCGAGGCGGGTGGATCACAAGGTCAAGAAATCAAGACCATCCTGGTCAACATGGTGAAACCCCATCTCTACTAAAAATACAAAAATTAGATGGGCGTGGTGGCCTGTGCCTGTAATCACAGCTTGGGAGGCTGAGGCAGGAGAATTGCTTGAACCCAGGAGGCAGAGGTTGCAGTGAGCCGAGATCGCGCCATTGCACTCCAGCCTGGGTAACAAGAGCAAAACTCCGTCTCAAAAGAAAAGAAAAGAAAAGAAAATGCCTGCCTCACCCTCGACCAGATCAAACACCACCAAAAAAAAAACTTGCTGGCGTCCGGGCCCACGCAGGCTCCTGAGTGTGGCCTGACCCTTGATTGCACTTGTTCAGCATCTCCACATGCATGGCTGGTCCCCGCCATGGGCTGGCACCTCCTGATCATTCCAGTGTGGAGAGGAGGACGAGGTGCTAACCTTCTGTGAGCCTCGGTTTCTGCATCTGTGAAATGGGGTAGTAAGGGCCAGCTCTCGGGCTGACAGCTCAGGAACAGGTCTCAGGGGCAGGAGTGCCTAGCAGAGTGTGCCTGCCTCCCTCGAGGCAGGGGTCCTTCTCCAGCTGGGGCCAGAGGGGCCTGGGAGCTCAGCCCCCCGAGGTTGATTTTCAGGTAAACGTCAGCTTATCCCAGCCACTCAATTCTGCCTTCCTGTGTAGCTGGCTCTGAGCAGTACTGACCCACGGGGAGAGCTCTGGCTTGGCCTCTGACTGGCACCTTCTCACCCACATTTTCTCTCTGCAGCTGGACCCACAAACAGTGGAGACCAAGAACTGGCACACGGACGTGATTGAGATGAACGGGGTGAGTGGGGGGTGGGAACGATGTCTGTGAGGTGGGTGGGCAGCCCGCCCTCTGGGGGCATGAGTGAGGGGGTGAGCGGGGGATGGGATAGTCTGTGTGGGGCGGGCAGCTCTCCCTCTGGCTGCTTCTGGGGCTGCTGTGCCACCTCGACCGGTCCCATTTTCCCACCTGCCCTTGCCCTGCCCGCTGCTGCCCTGCAGGTTTTGAGGAGCCCTGGGTGTGAGCTAACCCTCATCTGCAGTCTTGGGGAGACCCCTGCGTTTTGGGGTACTCCTCAAGCACTCACACCCTGGGGAACTTGTGCCTGCCTCACCCCCAAGCAGATCAAAGTGGAATTCTCCATGAAATTCACCAGCCGGGATATGAGCCTGAAGAGGACCCCGTCTAAGAAGCAGACGGGCGTCTTTGGTGTGAAGATCAGTGTAGTGACTAAGTAGGTGCTGCCTCTGGCCTCCGAGTCCTGGTGCCAGTGCCCCGTGTCCCTGCCAGCCTGGGCCCCCCAGCCCTCCCTGCCTGTGCACACCCTGGCATCTAATCTATCACCCCAGCTCAGTGGTGGCAGACAGCCAGTATGGAGCTAGAGCGGCTGCAGAGATGCTCACGCGACCCTTTAGAAGCACATGGGCCAGCACTTAAACACTGGAAGGTCTCATGTGAAACCCCAGATCATCTGCTCCTCATGATAAGCGGGAAGGTGTCAGCCGGGGGCCTGCATTTGGGCTCGGCACCAGCAGGGACTGGCCGCCCCCCGGGAAAGGGAACGTCCCCCAGTTCTCACTGCCCTGGCCCCTTGTCTCAGGCCTGACCCACCTCCTGATGAAGGCTGCCTGCTGGGCCTCCTGCAAGCATCTGAGTCTGGGGGACACCCTTTCCCTAGAGACTCAGCCTTCCCTTCCCAAGTTCCCAAGCCTTCTGCCCGAGGCCTCCGCTGCCCTGCACAGGCTGGCAGGGATGGGCAGGCTGGGGTGGTCTGGCTGGGGTGGGCAGGCTGGGGAGGGCTGGCTGGGATGGGCAGTCTGGCTGGGGTGGGCAGGCTGGAGTGGGCTGGCTTGGGTGGGCGGGCAGGCTGGGGTGGTCTGGCTGGGGTGGGCAGGCTGGAGTGGGCTGGCTTGGGTGGGGGGGCAGGCTGGGATGGGCTGTCTTGGGTGGGCGGGCAGGCTGGGGCGGGCAGGCTGGAGTCGGCAGGCTGTCTGGGGTGGGCAGGCCGGCTGGGATGGGCTGGCTGGGGCGGGCAGGCCGGGGCGGGGCGCAGTGGCCTCTTTCTCAGCTTCCCATCCCAGATGCTGGGAGCTCCCCAGGGCACGTGTGTGCTGGGTGGGGGCTGCTGTGGGGGAGCTGTCGTGGGGACCGCCCTCCACCCGTCCTCACGCCCACCCCAGGCGGGAGCGCTCCAAGGTCCCCTACATCGTCCGGCAGTGTGTGGAGGAGGTGGAGAAGAGAGGCATCGAGGAGGTTGGCATTTACCGGATATCGGGTGTGGCCACGGACATCCAGGCGCTGAAGGCCGTCTTTGACGCCAGTGAGTGTGGGAGGCCTGGCCGGCAGGCTGTGACTATGTCCCAGCAGGCTGTGGGGGGCACAGGAGCGCTCAGGGATCCAGGAGGCTTCGTGGAGAGGCCAGGCCCACCCAGGGCAGAGGAGCCTTGGTCGGTTTTGAGTCCTGTGGCAGGCGTTTTTTCTGCATTTTCTCATGGAATCCCCTCCCCTCGAGGGTAAGGAAATGGCAGACACGCAGAAGGGCCGGGTCGCTTGCCCAGGATAACTCAACTTGTAGGTTTTGGCTCTGGACTGAAACTCGGGTCTGACTGGAGTCGGCGTGACTGGCCTTCTTGCTGGTTCTGGGTGCCTCGTGAGCCACGGGGAAACAGCTGTGAACCTGCACCTGCTGTTTCCGGTCCCCAAACCCCTCTCGTCAGGCCCCAAACCCTGTGGTGAGGCCTGAGCTTTCCGGCTTCTGCTCCCTGCTCCTGCTGCTTCAGGCTGCAGCAACCACGGCCTGATAGTCAGGACACCTATGCCGGCCAGGCAGGGACGCGTCTGCCAGGAGCCGAGAGGGCCTCGGGGCGGCCTGGAGAGAGGTGGGGCGGGGCCGGGGAACTCACTGGCACTCAGCTCCTCTGGGCACCCTGAAAGCTGAGGCTTTGTCAGAACATGCTTTTACATGTGAAAATGTGCGTGCCGGATGCAGTGGCTCACGCCTGTAATCCCAGCACTTTGGGAGGCCGAGGCGGGTGGATCACGTGGTCAAGAGATTGAGACCATCCTGGTCAACACGGTGAAACCCCGTCTCTACTAAAAATACAAAAAATTGGCTGGGTATGGTGGCGTGTGCCTGTAATCCCAACTACTCAGGAGGCTGAGGCAGGAGAATTGCCTGAACCCAGGAGGCAGAGGTTGCGGTGAGCTGAGATTGCACCATTGCACTCCAGCCTGGGTAACAAGAGCGAAACTCCGTCTCAAAAAAAGAAAACATGCAGTGCCTTCTGAGAGGGGCTGAGTGATGGGGATGTTCCAGTTGGGAGGCAGGTGTGGGCCACATGTTGTGAACGTGGCTCTGAGCTCTGGGTGGTGAATCTCATTCCCCGGTCACCCCTTCCGAAGCAGCCACAGCAGGTGGACCCCAGGCTGTCTCTTCCTGCTCCTCTGACCCCAGCCCACAGAAACTTGCGGGCACCCCAGGTCCTGCCTTTCCAGGGGAGACCTGCACTGAGATGGAGTGGGTGGGGGCTGCCTCGGGAGGGCTGGGGGGATAGAACAGGCTGAGGCTGCGTGACCATGGCTCCTCCCCTGCAGATAACAAGGATATCCTGCTCATGCTCAGTGACATGGACATCAACGCCATCGCCGGCACGCTCAAGCTCTACTTCCGGGAACTGCCCGAGCCCCTCCTCACGGACCGACTGTACCCAGCCTTCATGGAGGGCATCGGTGAGGCCCTGAGGGCTCCTGGGGGCTAGGCTGGGCTGGGCCAGGACTCCCTGGCTGGAGAAGTAGCCAGCAAGAGAAATCCCTGTGGCCTCCCTTGCTGGGTGACCTTCCCAGGGCACTGGGGCCTGGGGCTGAGGGCCAGAGGGTGGGGTGTGGCCTGCTGGGACCGGGTGTGAGGCTGGACACTTTCTCGCCTGCTTCTTGCCCCTCCTGTCCCCATGGTGTCCCCTCTGCTTCCTATTGGGACACTGATCTCCTGCTTGGAAGCTCTGATATCCAGGAAGACTGTCCTGAGTGGCAGAAGCCAGCACCCCAGAGCCAGGGAGGAAGCTGGTTCAAGCCAGAGGGCACTTGAGGCAGGCTGTGCTGGGCCTTGCAGCGAGACCACACACTGTCCCATCACCTCTGCTGAGGACCCTGGCCAGCTCTGCGTCCACCCGCTTGGGCCAAAGCCAGGTGCCTGGGTATCCCTCTGGCCTTCTCTCCTGGGGCATCCCACGGAAGGCTGCTCACACGCATGCGCCAGTGCAGAGCAGGGTGAGAAAGAGCAGTCTCTCATGCCATGGGCAGGACCGGCCCCTGCTGGCTCAACCTTCGCCACGCAGACCAGGGCCAGGGATGACCCGTGGCCAAGGCCCAAGCGGCCAGCTGCAGGAAGAGAGTCTGCCCCTGCCAGCCGGCCTACTGACTGAGTCGTGGCCGGGCCGCCCGTGGCTGTCGTGCCCGGGCCCCATGGCTGAGTCATGGCCGGGACTTGTGGCTGAGTCGCGCCCAGGCCTCCTGGAGGAAGCAGCTGCTTACAGACCTCACCCTCCCCGGTGAGGTCTGTTCCCCAAGCGCTGGCAGCCTGGGCTGTCCACAGGGGCCCCCAGCCTCATGACCACAGGGGCTCTGGCAGGGAGCCCCCAGAACTGAGCTCTGCCCTGGCATTCTCTCCCACAGCCCTGTCTGACCCTGCTGCCAAGGAAAACTGCATGATGCACCTGCTGCGCTCCCTGCCCGACCCCAACCTCATCACCTTCCTCTTCCTGCTGGAACACTTGAAAAGGTAATGGGAGGGGGACGGGGGGGTGCCACGGAGGAAGGGGCACCAAGGGGGGTACGGGATGCCAGTACACCTCAGCCGGGGGTGCAGGTCCTGCTGGAGGACCCACCTCAGCCCTCCTCATGGGCGCTGGCCACTGTCGGACCATCCGTGCGGGGTGAGAGTTTGCTTCCCCCCTTCTTGCACTCATGCTTTTCTGCTTTGAGAATATTTGGGTCTCAGTAGTAACCTCAGAGATTGGCCACGCGATATTCAGAACAGCAGAGTGAGCGCCAGGGGCTGCAGGCACGTTGATACCAGCAGGTCCCACCTCCCAGTGGCTCACTCAGCCCGAGTGGCCTTTTCTAAATGAAATGGAGAGCGGATAGTATCAGGCTGCACTCCAGGCCTTGGTGCAAGTGCGACCGTTCTGCTCCATTACACAGAGAACGGACGTTGTGTTCTGTGTTACAGCATAGCGTGTTATTGGCCAGGCGCCGTGGCTCACACCTGTCATCCCAGCACTTTGGGAGGCCAAGGCGGGTGGATCATGAGGTCAGGAGATCAAGACCAGCCTGGCCAACATGGTGAAACCCCATCTCTACTAAAATACAAAAAATTAGCTGGGCATGGTGGCAGGCGCCTATGGTAGTCTCAGCTACTCAGGAGACTGAGGCAGAGGAATAGCTTGAACTTGGGAGGCAGAGGTTGCAGTGAGCCGAGATCGAGCCACTGCACTCCAGCCGGGCAACAGAGCAGGACTCTGTCTCAAAAAAAAAAAAAAAAAAAAAAAAAGCGTTATTGTGGCCCACAGTGAAAACATGTGAGACCCACTGGTCCTGGCCCACACCTCACTTAACACAGGGAAGATGAGCCCCCACGCCCAGCGGGGACTTGCTGGGCTTAGTGGCACATCCGTCCTTAGAACCCACGACTTCCAGATCCTAATTCAGACCCTTTTTGCCTTCCCATCATCCGTTCTGCGGTCAGTCCAGCCAAGAGCTGCTGACGTGGGTACCTGCAGCAAAGCTCAGAACTGAAGGTGGCCTGAAGGGTCCTCAGGCTTGCGTGGGAAGGAGCTCCCCGGGCCTCCCTTCAATCCACCTGCCTCCTAGGACCCGGGAGCTTGAGGGGTCCTAGGAGCTCAGCCCCAGCTCAGGGCCAGGCCCCCCGCACCCTCCATGTGGCTCAGCCAGGCCAGGCTCTGGAGAGCCAGTGGAGACCTGGTCACACCCGGGGCTGGTATCTTGTTTTTCTCATTATGAGACATTTTTCCTCTGGTTTGGCCAGGACCGGAGCCTGGACCAATCCCGAAATCGCCTGGCAAGCCTTGTGGGAGGGGTGGGAAGGGAAGGGATCGTTCACTCAGTTTCCACCCTGGGAACTGGGCACAACCTGTTCCCACATCTGGGCCCTGTGCGCGTGGTGAGGGCCGGCCCGCTGCACAGCGGCCTGTTGGCATCACAGTGTGTCTGCCTGTTTCCAAAGCAGGTGGCCTCGGCTCCCACCTGGGGGTGGGAATGATGATATGGAGAGGGTGACAGGCACTCTTAGGGTGGGTGGGTCTCACCCAGAAACATTCGCTGAGATTGAAGGAGAACCAAAGCCCCCCTGATGGGACAGCAGTCCCACCCAGGGAAGCATTGCAAAGCATCTGGCCTATTGAGCAAGAGAAGCGGGGGAGGACCCGGAGGGTGGCGGCCCAGGAGGGTGGCGCTGGCTCATCCTGGAGGAGGGCTGCTCTTGCCCCAGCACAGCTGGCAGAGCCCTGGGTCTGGCTAGAGATGGTGGCCGGGCGGGTTCCAGGCCCTGCCTGCCTTTCTCCCCTGCCCCACCCACTGTGACTCTTCCTCCGGCCACTCGGCCCATGAGTAAGCAGCACCAGTGGTTAAGAGTGTTGTTCTGGAGGCAGCTACCTGGGTTCCAGTCCCAGCTCTACCACTTGCAAGTCGCCTGACCCCTCTGCACTCTGGTTTCCTCGTCTTGACAATGGGGGTGATGATACTTACCTCAAAGGGCGAGCATGGGTTGTTACAGGGAAGGTTCTCAGAACAGCACTGTCTCTCGGGGAAGGGAGCCAGAGCAGGAACAGCATCAGCTGTCAGGGAGGGGAGCCGGAGTGGGAATGGCCCTGCCTCCCAGGAAAGGGAGCCGGAGAGGGAACAGCATTGGCTCCCGGGGAAGGGAGCTGGAGCGGGAACAGCACTGCCTCAGGGAAGGGAGCCAGAGTTGGTATCTGTGGGTCCTCAGGCTCAGGCAGTTCACTATCAGTTCGGGGGAATGCTACAGCTGGAGATGTCAGCATATGGCTGGACCCCACTCCCCTAGATGAGTCCCCGTGCCCCCACAGAGGTCTCCACTCTTAGGAGAGGGAGATGAGGTGATCCTCTTCCAGGCGTCCTCCAGGACCTCCTACAGCGAAGGCCGGGGGTCCCAGAGCTCCGAGTGGCTGCTAGGACGAGCTGATCATGCCCCCGCCACGCTGCTTCTCCTTTTCAGGGTTGCCGACAAGGAGCCCGTCAACAAAATGTCGCTTCACAACCTGGCTACTGTGTTTGGACCCACGTTACTGAGGCCCTCGGAAGTGGAGAGTAAAGCACACCTCACTTCGGCGGCAGACATCTGGTCCCATGATGTCATGGCACAGGTACCCCTGGCAGCGCCCAGGCCGGGGCTGGTGGAGGGTGAGACGAGTCCCCATGCCTCTTCCCTCATGGGAAGCTGGGTTGATGTGCTGTAGGGTCACCAGGAGGAGGACTCAGACACTTCTGCACCACCCACGCCAAAACAAAAACATTTGAGCCTAGACCAGGCCAGAGAGCGTCTGTCCCAGATGCTGGCTGCATTCTCAGGCGGGCCTGGGTCTTGAAGAGCCAGCCCAGGGGTCTGGGAGGTCCTTGTCCGCACATGTGGAAGCTCTGAGGCTGCTCCTAAGGGCGGACGCTGCTCCAGGGCCCAGAGCAGGGGTCAGACCGTGGCTGCCCCAGGGTGGAGCGGAAGCTTATGGCCAGGTTGAGGAAGGGGCCCTAGGCGCCCTGCCCTGTGCCCCGCAACGCCTTCCATGGCTGCAGAAAGGCCAACACCCCTGTTGGGTCGCCCAGAAAGGGGAGGAGTGGGCACTGTCTAGGGGGTGGGAGGGCAACCGGCCAGCCCACGGGACCACGTCGTGTCGCGTGTACGGCACGGCTCAGCCTTCCTGCCTCCCCACAGGTCCAGGTCCTCCTGTACTACCTGCAGCACCCCCCCATCTCCTTCGCAGAACTTAAGCGGAACACACTGTACTTCTCCACCGACGTGTAGCCCGAGGCAGGGCGGCCGTGGGGGCGGCAGAGCCAGCCCCTCCAGCCCGGGCCCAACTCAGACTTGAAGGACTGCAATAGAAAACTCCCACACCCAGCACTCCAGGCTCCAGGGAAGCCAGCTTCCAAGAACTGGGACTCATGCGTCTTTCGTGCCACCTTGTACAAAGCCGGCCCGGCCCCGCCTCGGCAGCGTGCCTGCCTCGCGCCCTCCAGCCTCTAGCGTGCCCGGCTCCCTCCGCGCTGTTGGGAGTTCTCTGCACACCTGTCGTGCGGGGAGGGCAGTGGCGCCTGCGTGGGCACACAGACAGCCGCCTTGTCCTTCCGTGTCCTTCAGCACTTTCTTTCCTCCCGAGTCCAGCCGAGGGCTCTCGTTTCGCGCTGCGCGGCTGCTGCCAGCTTCTCTCTCGGCCCTGCTCCCGGATGGCCCTCTCCCGGCCGCCTCCCTGTCTGCCTCCACCCTCTCCTCCTTCCCAGCCCGCATGCATGTGCACCCTGGGTTCCGCGCCATTGCCCTGACGGCTCTGAGGCGGCCCTGGCTGGTGGGCAGCGGTGGCCCGCCTGATGCTGCCCTGGGCCGCCACCGGCCTCTCCTCAACTTCCGCCTTCAGGAGCACACCTGCTTTGCCTTGCTGCCTGTGCAAATGTTGGACAAGGAGACACACACTCATCCCCAGCTCAGCAGAGCTGGAGTGCGCATTTCTGGAATTTTCCATTTGGGAATCTCCACTTCTGGGGTTTAACTCTTCTGCCTCCTGGCTGCCGGTGAGGCGTCTTGGGCTGTCTTCTGCTTCTCAGTTCCCTTCCCAGGTGTTCTATTTCCTTGGAGTGTCAAGACTCACAAGGGACCTGCTATTGAGATAGCCAGAGGGTCAGGAGAGAACGGGGCGGAGGCAGAGTCAGGCTGCTGAGGAACCACAGCGCTGGGAGTCCCGAGTCCGGGTGCGCAGCTCTTAGCAGCGAGTTATGGGGGCTTTTCAAGTGGAGCCAGGCTTCCTGGAGGGTGACTGATGTGGCTGAAGCAGGTGTCCAGGCAGGCAGGCTGCAGCCAGGCACTTCCTGGCACCGCAGGACCTCGTGGCACTCTTGCCTTAGATTTTACACACTCTCCACAGCTGAGCACTGCCACGGGCGCTCCAGGGCTTGGGAAGGGAAGGCACAGGCCCGCAGTGGCCTCGGGACGCAGCCTTCTGGGTCCACGCTGGGAACTCCAGAAGCTGGGGGTAGAGTGAGGAATCGGCCGCCCGCCTCTCGGGCAGGGTTTGCTGGGGCCTCCTGTTGGCGCTGTGCGGTGGAGTAGGGACCCACAGGTTCCATTGCCAACTTGGGAGACGCACTGCTCAGTACTAGGAAGCAGCAAGATGTGTTCCCACAGGTGCCGTGCTGCCAGCCTCGGGCCGTTGGCCTGGAGAGCAGACACAGCTGCAGGTGCCTGAGCCGTCGCTGTAGGTAGAGCTCTTCTCCGGCAGTCGCTTCTGAGCCTCAGGATTGGGGAGTGGTTCCCACTGCTGTGCTGAGGGCTGTTGTCAGGAAGGGTTTGCTGGCTCAGCGCTGTGGTGCTGGCTCAGTGGGGCAGGGCCCTTTCTGATCCCGTTCAATCCTCTGGCCTTGAGCAGAACAGTAAATATGCCATCGGAGGAGAGGAGGAAACACCAGCCAGCTGCCAGTGAGCAGCTTAGCCAGGAGCCCGTGCTCCCTGGACAGGCGGTGAAGAAGGAGTGCCACCTGAGGCTAAGACACCAGTGCCTGGCCGTTCCCGAGTGTCGTGTGTGGCGAGTCTAAAGGAAGACCAAGTGTCTGGCTGTTCCTCAGTGTTGGTGTGGGGCAAGTCTAAAGACCCAGCGCCTGGACGTCCCTGAGGTCCCTGCGTGGCATCCAGGTGTCTGTGTGTGGCGAGTCTAAAGACTGGCCGTTCCTGAGTGTCACGTGTGGCGAGTCTAAAGAAAGACCGAGTGTCTGGCTGTTCCTCAGTGTTGGTGTGGGACGAATCTAAAGACCCAGCGCCTGGACATCCCTGAGGTCCCTGCGTGGCATCCAGGTGTCTGTGTGTGTGGCGAGTCTAAAGACCCAGCGCCTGGCCGTTCCCGAGTGTCAGTGTGTGGCATCTGAGCGTCACGTGCGGCGAGTGTAAAGAAAGACTGGCCGTTCCCGAGTGTCAGTGTGTGGCATCTGAGCGTCACGTGCGGCGAGTGTAAAGAAAGACTGGCCGTTCCCGAGTGTCAGTGTGTGGCATCTGAGCGTCACGTGTGGCAAGTGTAAAGAAAGACTGGCCGTTCCTGAGTGTCATGTGTGGCGAGTCTAAAGACCCAGCACCTGGCCGTTCCCGAGTGTCAGCATGGGGCACAGAAAGCTCCCCGTTGCTTCCACAGCAATTGACAGGAAGGGGCAGAGTGAGTCCCTGCCCAGCCCGGGCACCTCACCTCCCTAACAAGGCCTGTTCAGGTCTCGGCACTGGGGAGCCTCTCAGCCCCAGGCTTGCTGAGGCAGTGTGAGAATGGGCAGTGAGAAGGCTGGACGGGCTGAGAAACATGAAAGGCTCCTATTTCTAATCCCACCCGGTGCCAGACCTGGCCTGAACTGCACCACGGAAGTCCCCAGCGGGTTCTCCTGTGACCCGGGGCCTCTGCAGCCCAGAACCTCGGCCACTGTGCCCCACAGGGCGGGCCGTGCCAGCCAGAGTCAGGCCGCAGGAATCCCAGGCCGGCCTGTCCTTGAGGGGCAGCGGCCGATGGCTGCCAGTTCCTGCCGATACCCAGGAGGGATGGGACCCTTCGTTAATGTCTGGCTTTAATAAGTTGGCAAGGATATATTTTTTTGTCTATGTTCTGTTTCAACTTATGTAGATTATAAATTGATGTAAACCATGTGAAAGGAAAATGTTAATAAAAAAATGCAAAGCCCCAACATTTGCACAAAACTCAGCCCTGCGGTGTGGATGTTTGTGTTCGCCGGGGTCCAGGGAAGCCACCAATCTAAATATTTAACTCTTCCAGCTGCATCCAGATGTGAGTTTCCAGGCATGTTTACCTAGTTCACTCCCCTTAAGCCTCCCCGTGGCCATGTGGGCTGGGGCAGAGCTGGGGGAGGTGGGCTCGAGGCCTCTCTTTGCTCCTCACAAGGCCCCCGCTCAGCCAGCATCCAGGCCACTTGTGGTCTCGCCCTGAGCATTCGTGTACAGTTCCTTTCGCAAAGTGAAAATGTCAACCCGCAACCTGGCCATGCCGCGAGGTTGTCCACTGAAGAAGAAGCTGCTTATTTTCTGTGATCACTTCTCTACATCTTCCTTCCATGCAGCGTATCTTTGAGGCGGCCTCTGGTCTAACCTGCTTATCAGAGAAGCTGGATCCCCGAGGCCCCCCCCCCCTGCTTTGGGAGAGCCAGTGGCGTTGATGTAGGCTCCCACCAGCCTCAGCAACTGGACACTGAGTTTATTCTGAAGATCAGGAACAGATGTCTCTGAAAATTGCTGTTTGGTTTATGAGCTCATACTGGCTCCGCAGCCATCTAAAACAGGAAACGATTCATCTCCTCTCAAGTGAATAGGCAGTGTGGGCAATGCCTGGCTTACTGAACCAATGGCCGCTGACAGCTCCCCTCCCCCCGGCTTGTGGCATTTCTTGTACTGGGTCCTATGTGTCAAATGGAAAGACAGAAGATACCAGACACCCCAGGACTGCGCCCGGTGCCAGGAAGGGGTGTCTGATGGCCTTTTCCATGTGCTAGACAGAGATCCCAAGGCATCCTAGGACCGTGACAGACACCAGGTAAGAGTGTCTGACAGCCCTTTCCACGTGCTAGATGGAAAGTCAGAAGATCCCAGGCACCATAGGACCAGTGACAGGCACCAGGTAAGAGTGTCTGACAGCCCTAGATGGAAAGTCAGAAGATCCCAGGCACCCAGGACCACACCAGGTGCCAGGTAGGATTGTCGGGTGACGGCCCTTTCCATGTGCTAGATGGAGGGAAGATCCCAGGCACCCCAGGACCACTCCAGGTGCCAGGCAGGATTGTCTGACGGCCCTTTCCATGTACTAGACTGAAAGAAGATCCCAGGCACCCCAGGACCGCACCAGGCGCCAGGTAGGAGTGCCTAATGGCCCTTGCTTCAGAGTGCTGGTGTCCTGTATTCGGGGGCAGTAGAGGAAACAGTGTCTCCTGGGCTCTGGGGAGTTCTCCAGCTAGCCTAGCAGTGATGAAGCCTCCTAGCTGTGAGACAGGGAGGGGCGTTATATAGAATTCACCATACAAGGACATGAGCCCTGAGCCAGGGCTCACATTCATTCCCAGGAAATGGCAAACACGGCCCGGGGAAGGTGTTACCAGCTGGGTTTGATCATCACTCACACACAGACAATACTTGGGACGCCATGCAGGCCGAGTCTGAAGTCTGGCTAAGACTGTGTGGGCTAGAAGACAGGGCAGATGAGGGCGAAGGCAAAAAAGAAGGGGTAGCGGAATTACTGTGATAGGAAAAAGGAGACTACCGCCGGCTGAAGGTACCCAGAACTGCGTGGCCCCCACCAAGCTACCTGCCCGGCCCCACCCAACAGCAAAGGCCTGACTCCATCAACTTCCTCTCCCCAAAAGCAGCAGCAGTGGTGAAGCCCAATTGTGGATGGCTTTTTTCCCCCATGGCACACAGGCAAGAAAGAAACCACAAGATCAAGTCGAAAACATCAGCATGTTAAAACACTTCCCTGACGCTGGAGAACGAGGGTGGTGGTGAGCAGCCCCTCAGTGACATCTGACCTTGGCCAGTAGCTGCTGTGACCAAGTCACCAGGATGAGCACAGCAGGACGCTTCACAGGGGGCTCGAGCTGGCCTGGGCCAGTGGTCCCATCATGAAACCAGCGTGTGGCTCACCAGACTGCAGGCGTGCCTCTCAGCCAGCCAAGGAGGGGCTCCGAAGACACCCTCCAGTTCACGGACAGGGTTCCCTACATCCTAGGAAGAGGTCGGGCCGGGCTCTTGAGGCAGGCCCTGGTAGATGTAACAATCTTGCTGAGGACGACACAGTCCTCCAGGAACCCCGAGAATCCGCCGTCCCCAGGCCGAGGACGACACAGTCCTCCAGGAACCCCGAGAATCCGCCGTCCCCAGCCCGAGGACGACACAGTCCTCCAGCAACCCCGAGAATCCGCCGTCCCCAGGCCCGAGGACGACACAGTCCTCCAGCAACCCCGAGAATCCGCCGTCCCCAGGCCGAGGACGACACAGTCCTCCAGCAACCCCGAGAATCCGCCGGCCCCGGCCTCCTCGGGTGCTTTCATTCTTTCCCTTCAGTTGTTATCTCTGGGCCAAAACCTGGCACTATTTTTGGAATTAGGGAATTTGAAAGTAAAAATAAACCAACCTTTTGAACTCTAAGGTGTGGGGCGGGTGTATTTTTTATACAAGGATGGCAGAACACAAAACAAGTGATGGAACTGGTTGGACGGCATCGACACGCCCTGCCCTGCCCTGCCCAGTATTGGAGATGGACAGCTGCCTGGAGTCCCAGGTAGAAGAGCTTCCTGGTACCTGTAAAGACTGTCACCTCTGTGTTCACAACACGAGACAACCTAGAGGGCCACCTGTGGTCAGGACTAAGCTTGTGGAGCCCAGTTCCTGTACGTCGACATGCTGTCTCCCGATCTGCTCTGAGGAGAGCATCTGGCACGACACGTCCTCTCTGAGGCCTGGCTGGAGGCCAGGAGCAGCAAAGTGCGGTTGCTCTGAAGGCTGGAGGAGAGAAGCCAGGTGGCCCCCTCAGAATCCCAACGACATGAAGGAAAACGAACGTCTTCAGGTCCTGAAGCAAGGGCCCTGGGGTGGTCCAGAAACCGTCCTCCGAAGAGCAGCTCAGACCCAGGGCTGGCATCGTCCTTCCCACGGGCAGTCCCTCTCACCGTAGGTAATAATCGATGGCAGCAGAGAACGCAGCGAAACCCCCACAACCGATGGCCCCAGCTTTTAAGCCAGCTGTCAAACAAACAGAAATCACATCACCTGCGCGGCAGCTGCTGGGGTGCGACGCACTCACGTCAGGTTCACACACCCTCAGGTGTGAAGCAGCTTAAGCACTGTAAGTGATTCAAGCGATCGCAGCGCTGGGAGACATCAAAGCAGCAGCGGACAGATCTAATCCCGCGTCTCATCTAACTACATTTGTCTGGCTTGTCTCCTTCAAGGACTATTTCTAGTCTTAGGGAAATGGCCCCTCACAGGCAGGAAACTGCCTAAGAGAAGCAGCCCTTGGAATCAAATGAAAGCATATGGCCTTTTACCCTGATTTGTTTATGGAATACATTCCTGGGAAGGTGATCAAAGTAGTCCTGGAGACAGCGGAGCTTCTCCAAGAGGCCCTGGTGAAGCTGAGCAAAGGAGGCGATGAAGTAGTTCCTCCAGGCCAATCACAAACGGTATCAGAGCAGCAAAACCAGGTTTTCATGACAGCAAATCATCCTGTCTCCCAGAAGATATGAAAACCAGCTTTTTGCTCCAAGTCGGGGCATGACAGATGGAAACTGGTCCAGTGACAAAGCACTGATGCTTCCAGGAGTCAGGCCCCAAGGCCCTCCACACTCGGATGGGCACGCCAACAAGGAAACAGCAAGCAAACTGGTTTTCTCTTTTTTTTACAGCTGATAATCTAACATTTCCAGAATATCTGTACTTAGCATTCAACGGGTAGAAATCAGAATCCCCGAGGGCAGAAAGTATTGCTGTTGTATCATTTATATCCAAAATTAAAACAGACAACTGTATAGAATTATTGAGAAAAATGTCGGCCAGGTGTAGTGGCTCATGCCTGTTATCCCAGCACTTTGGAAGGCCAAAGCGGGTGGATCACCTGAGGTCAGGAGTTCGAGACCAGCCTGGCCAACATGATGAAACCCCGTCTCTACTAAAAATACAATAATTGGCCGGGCGCGGTGGCTCAAGCCTGTAATCTCAGCACTTTGGGAGGCCGAGGCGGGTGGATCACGAGGTCAAGAGATCGAGACCATCCCAGTCAACATGGTGAAACCCCGTCTCTACTAAAAATACAAAAAATTAGCTGGGCATGGTGGCACATGCCTGTAATCCCAGCTACTCAGGAGGCTGAGGCAGGAGAATTGCCTGAACCCAGGAGGCGGAGGTTGCGGTGAGCCGAGATCGCGCCATTGCACTCCAGCCTGGGTAACAAGAGCGAAACTCCGTCTCAAAAAAAAAAAAAAAAAATACAATAATTAGCCAGAGGTGGTGGTGGGAGCCTGTAATCCTAGCTACGCAGGAGGCTAAGGCAGGAGAATCACTTGAACCCAGGAAGCAGAGGCTGCAGTGAGCTGAGATTGCACCATTGCACTCCAGCCTGGGCAACAAGAGTGAGTCTATTTCAAAAAAAAAAAAAAAGAAAAAAAAAGGTCTAAATTCTTGAAATGCTTAGAGTAAAAAGCTCGGCGTGGTCAGCTGCGTGGGGCGGCCTGGGCTGAATGGACACAGCCCAGCTTCTGTGTCCCGCACCGACAGAGTGCAGGGATCACTCAGCGTGAGGAGGTTTTCCCGTATGTTCAGCATGGGCAGTTCTGTGTTCTTAGATCTGGATCGGTGACTCACCTGGGGTCACTTGCCCCTCAGGGGGACTTTCAGGGACATCAAGAGTTATTACAACTGGCCAGGCACAGTGGCTCACGCCTGTAATCCCAGCACTTTGGGAGGCCGAGGCAGGCAGATCACCTGAGGTTGGGAGTTCAACATGGCAAAACCCCATCTCTACTAAAAATACAAAAAAATAGCTGGATGTGGTGGTGGGCACCTGTAATCCCAGCTATTTGGGAGATGAGGCAGGGGAATCACTTAAACCAAGGAGGCAGAGGTTGTAGTGGCCAAGATCATGCCACTGTACTCCAGCCTGGGTGACAGAGTCAGACTCGGCCTCCAAAAAAAAGAAAAATTAGT